AAGTTTCTACTATCAAAATTCTTCTTGACCAGTGCTTGATAATTATGCCCATGGGACAAACTGAATTCCTCTCAAAGCATAAACATTTGTTACAGATTGCTGTAAAGTATATAATGAAAAAATAAGTTTTTACTTAATTTAACATTTTTTAATAAGGATACAACTATAATTTTACATTTTTTAGGATTATGAAATTTAAAATTTAAAAGACTTATTTTTTTAAAAAAAAATCCATTTAAATTAAAGGTCACAGTGACCTTGAAATAGACCGCGACACACCTTCTACTTTAGATGTATACTTTTGCCAAGTTTGAAAGCTCTAGGTCTCATAGTTTTCTAGTTATGAGTCGGACAGGATTTTTCACATTTGGCTATAGCATCTTTATTTAAGGTCAGAGCGACCTACTTTTTGTGTGCGACACACCCTCTACCCAAGATGTATCAGCTGACAAAGTTTGATAACTCTAGGCCTTATAGTATTAAAGTTATGAGCCGGACACGAGAAAAGCTAACAGACGGACAGACACGAAGCCTATAACATAATACGTCCCGTCTTAAGACGGGCGTATAAAAAGGTATGCAGAGTCGCGATACCAGCTGTATCGCTGAATTCCTACTTTTTAATACAATGTATGGCCTCCGCTCTGACTCTCCCCTGCACATGTCCCTATGTAAAAAGCAGGGGTAAGAGTCAGAGGAATATTTGATTAGGTAAAAGCAAAAATCCGTTAAGTAATGAAAAGTTTTAATATAAAAATGGGTTCGGAGAAAGGGGGGGAGGTATTTCAACAACCTTAAGTCTACGATCCCTAAGATAATGGCTTTGCTGTTTATGAGATGAACGTTTTAAGGTCACCTCAATAAACTCAGATGACCTATTGCTATCAATTTACGTCCGTCGTCGTGCGGTATGCGTCGTGTGTTATCACTTGAATATTTTCAGCTTCTTCTCTGCAACCGCTGAACCAATTTTGGCATAAAGCATCTATGGGTAAAGAAGAACAAAAATTGTGAATTTCATGGTTCCTGCCCCCCCCCCCCCCGGGTCAACTCCAATATAAGGGTATGTAGTCCCTATGCGGAAGCTTGTATTTATATAAAAGTAGTGATTCGGTTCTACTGTCGACCGGGAACAGTTGACATTTGAAATGAGTGATTAGGTTATCAATGATAATTATAAATTCTCTGACATTAATGAAATTGTCAATGCATTGACACCATGACATTGACAGAATAAAATTGTCAATGCATTTACACGTTGACATTGACAAAATGGAATTGTCAATGCATTGACACGTTGACATTGACAAAATGGAATTGTCAATGCATTGACACGTTGACATTGACAAAATGGAATTGTCAATGTATTGACACGTTCACATCGACAAAATACAATTGTCAATGCATTGACACGTTGACATTGACAAAATGAAATTGTCAATGCATTGACACGTTGACATTGACAAAATGCAATTCTCAATGCATTGACACGTTGACATTGACAAAATGCAATTCTCAATACATTGACGTTGACAAAGGGATAATTATAAATGCATTGACACGGTTGAAATTGTCATTGCATTGACACGTTGATATTGACAAAATGGTATTGTGTGATTCCTATTTTTTTTTTGACTGCCATTTAAATACTTCAACACAAAAATACAATAAATAACGCATTTATTACAATAGTTTTCTTTTCATTGTTTTACAACAGCATAAAAGACATGTATAAAAAACATTGACATTAAAAATTTTCATTTTCATTCGGTGCTGCATCAACATCACAGCTGTATATATACATCAGATATACAACACAGACGTATGTTACATTCCAATTACTCATTCATAAGAACCAATTTACTCATTCATAAGAACCAGTCAACTATTTCGTCGTGCTGTGGGTGGCTTGGGAGGGCACTCATGATGAGGGGCTTTTCTGATTCACTAAATTTCTTGAAATTTGTTGCATACATTTCAATTGTAGCATTGCATCTTTTCAACAATTCTACAGAAATTCTAGAGGGCGCAGTTTTTAACAAGAGGCCCAGGGGCCACAGCGCTCACCTGAGCACATCAGGCTTGAATTTACTCTACCCCCCCTCCAGACGTTCATCATTTGAACAAACTAGAATCTACACTACCTGAGGATGATTCCATATAAATATCACTAATCATAGCTTTGAGGTACTTGAAAAGAAGATTTTAAAAGGTTTCCCTATATATCCCTGTGTAAAACTTGGGTCGGCCATTTTGGCCCCACCCTAGCCCCGGGGGTCATGATTTGAACAAATTTGAATCTACACTACCTGAGGATGATTCCAAATGAGTTTCATCTTTCCTGGCCCAGTGGTTCTGGAGAAGAAGATTTTAAAAGATTTTTCCTATATATTCCTATGTAAAACTAGGGTCGGCCATTTTGGTCCCACCCTTGCCCCGGGGGTCATGATTTGAACAAACTTGAATCTACACTACCTGAGGATGATTCCACATGAGTTTC